AGCAGAAACCAACTGCTCTCACAAATTTGACCCCCTAATTTAGTCATATAGACTGTCGTCATTGCCGGCATCACCAAACCCGGTTTGGCCATCAGTAGCACCCGATTCTCCCGCAGACGGGAAACGGAAGAAGGTGCTCCCACCGGAATTCTTCATACTTTGTGCAAACGCCTCATATCGTCGGATCTCCACGTCGCTCACAGAGCGTCGCGCCATCTGCATCGCCTCCTCGAAGTGCGCGCGGGTAAGCTCCGGTACGGGGTCCTCGGCATCAAGGTCTTCATCCATCTTCACATCTTCCCCGGCAGCTTCGCGCTCCTTGGTTCGCTCGATGTCGAGCGCGATGGACTGTTTGATGGCCAATTTGACGGCGCGCTGGGTAACGAAGCCAAGATCGGCGCCGGAGAAGCCGTGAGTTTTGCTAGCGATGAATTTCAGATCGACGTCGGCGGCGACGGGGGTCTTGCGGAGTTGAGCTTTCAGGATATCAACACGTTCTTCCTCGTTGGGGAGGGGAACGTAGACTAAGGTGTCGAGACGACCAGGGCGGCAAAGAGCGTTGTCGAGCTGCTCGGGACGATTAGTAGCGCCGATGACGAAGACGTTCTTCTTCGAAGTCATGCCGTCCATTTCTATACCGTCGTGTTAGTGTGGGAAATCGTTGCAAGGGATTAATTAGCAGGTAATGGATAAATAACATACCTGTCAAAAGCTGGTTGACAACGCGGTCGGAAGCACCACCAGCATCACCAACGGATCCACCTCGAGACTTGGCAATAGAGTCCAACTCATCCAAGAAGACAACACAGGGGGCAGCAGCACGAGCTTTGTCGAAAATGTCACGGATGTTGCTTTCAGACTCGCCAAACCACATACTCAATAGTTCAGGGCCCTTGACAGAGATGAAATTGGCTGCACACTCGTTGGCAACAGCCTTCGCAAGAAGTGTCTTACCAGTTCCAGGAGGACCATAGAACAAAACACCTTTGGATGGAGAAAGACCAAACTTGAGGAACTTTTCTGGGTGATCGACAGGGTATTGGACGCTCTCGATGAGTTCGCGCTTGACCTCGTGCAGACCTCCGATATCTTCCCAGCGGACATTGGGGACCTCGACGACGGCAACTTCGCGAAGAGCGGGATGGGTTGGAGACACCAAGCGCGGAGAAAGTTTTCCATGGGCCCCCCCAGGGAGGCCCAAAACTCCGCATCCAAGGGAACCTCCACTAGGGCAATGGGGGCCCTTTTTTTCACGAAATTTTT